CGTATTTGGAATGGAAAATGACACACACAACACACACACACACACACACACAACACACACACACACACACACACACACACACACACACACACACACATACACACAGTCGTCCCCTAGCCAATGCTCTTCTATACAATTCACCCTCATCCCCTAATTTAACAAAACGACACATAATAAGACATAAAAGCACAAGAATAATGCTTGAAAAAAGTGAAAATTTAGCGCTGGAAAAAACCCACAAGGGTGATCTAAGAATTCTCCAGAATAAGAAACATGTCGTTTTACTGATATATGAAGCTAAGAACAGAAATCAGTTATAGCTGTAACCAAGAAGAAAAACGTCCTGTTCAGATGAACTGCAGAAATTGAAGAAAAAATGGAATATTATGCCGATGTCGGACCAAATAATAATATTATGTACATATTATGAACTGAGTTGAGGGTTTATAAAAAGAGAAAGACGTAGATCTACTATCTTAAATTAAGTAGCGAAGAATGTGCGCCGTAATAGAGAAAGATAATTAAATACAATCGAAACTGTCTCAGACGGCCACGCATTGTCGAGGGGGAAAGTGGCCGTCTTAGACAGGTGTGCGTCTTACGCGGTGTCATTAAAATGTAAAAATACGCAAGGGATGAAATGGAAGTGGCCTTTGTACAGGTGACTGTCTTTTTAAACAGGTGGCGGTTAGAGCAGGTTCGATCATACAGAAATATAAAAAATAGGTTATTTGGACATGTTACTATTAAGAAATACGGAAATATATAAATAGAATAATTAAATGTAGTAGTGGTAAAGTCGATTTGCTAAGAGCATTAAAGACCTGATAAACATTTCTGTTAGAATCGGAATAGACCTGTACATGAAAGATATGAATGAACGTATGTGGAGGAAAGTAATGGTGAAAGTAAGGAATTTCTATTACATGAGCAGAATGAGTCCATAACGAACAAAATACAACGATGTGAAGAAATAATAAACCGTCGATAACTGCTAAAAAAATCCCACCCTTATTAGAACTGTAAAAGAACTAAATCTCTAGTGCTTTGGGTAATTAAGATTCATGAATCTCTCTCTCTCTCTCTCTCTTTCTCTCTCTCTCTCTCTCTCTCTCTCTGATGTGTA